TGTGATGTTCTGACTTGGTAAGTTGGTAAGTGTGGAGATGGAGCCAAGAATTCTCTTTTTGTTTGAACCACTTGTTAGCTTCTCAGACAATTTGTATAAACAGACAAATATGGTAATTACAGCTACAAAGTAATATGTGATGTTCTTTTTTTTTTTTTTTTTTTTTTGACAAGGTCTCTCTCTGTTGCCCAAGCTGCAGTGCAGTGGTGCAATCTTGGCTCAATGCAACCTCTGCGTCCCAGGCTTAAACCATTCTTCCACTCAGCCTCCCGAGTAGCTGGGACAACAGGCACATGCCAACATGCCAAGCTAATTTTTGTATATATTTCTTTCTCTTTTTTTTGGTTAGAGATAGGGTTTCACCATGTTGCCCAGGCTGATCTTGAACTCCTGGGCTCAAATGATCTGCCGGCCTCGGCCTCCCAAAGTGCTGGAATTCCAGGCATGAGGCACAGGGATCAGCTGTCACTGAAGTTCTTAAGGAAAAGAACAACTTGCTGTGATCACAGATCTTTGCTTCTGGTTCTCCAAGCTCTTAGTGTTTTCTGCTTATTGAGACCAGAACTATCCCTGCCTTTGTAGAGACAGACCTGCCAGACTGTGTTCTGGTGAATCAGACTCTAGCTCCCAAAGCACTTTGCCACAGACCCCTCTTCCTCAGGAAGAAGGAGGAGGATTGAGCACTTTGGCAAAGCAACCAAGAGAGTAATGTGCTGCAGTGGGAATAAATCACGGACCAAGGAAATGAATGAACCACATGTTTCTGGATTTCAAATACCACTTCTGGAAATGAGCGAGTCTTTCTGCTTTCTCATTTCAATTAATTTTCTTACAAACTCTCCCTACCATTTTTCATTGCAGTCAATTATTTAACTTGTTCCAGTATGAAAATTGGGTCCTTACAAAAAACTTAATTGATTTGACCTGTGCTTTGACACAACACTTTGCAAAATGCATGTGCGTTCATACAGATTAGTCATCTGAGTCATTATTTTCCAGCAAAGTACAGCACCATGCTGGCAGTGGATGGCACACCAATATTGTGAAAATGTGAACTTCTTATTCTTGTGGAAAGTTACAACAAAGAAAGGGTGGTTGGAAGTCCAATAAGGACATCATTTGTCCTAAGACTTTGACTAAGAATCTATTCATCTCTAATACTGCCTCCCTGCAGGTGAAAACGTTAAACCAAGGAAGATATTGGGGCAGAATGGAGAGAATGGTGCCTGGGCCTGGCAGATGGAATCTGAATTTCAGGGCAGCTCCTTGGCCACGTTTCAGTCTTAGAACTGGGCAAATTTTTGTAGCTGTTTTGATTCACAGCACACCTCTTTGTAAATTTGGATACATTCTTACCTGCCTCATGGCGGTATAGTGAGGAACAACAAAAATGAAGAGAGAACCAAAGTATAGTAAGCGCTCAGGAAATGGTGACAAGGATGTGATATTGCTGACAAAATTACTTTGCCATTGTTTATTCCAATTTTACTTATTTATAATTCAATCTCACCGATTCACAGAAAAAACTGAGGCAATATGATCACATTTTAAAGAGCATTCTTATTATTTTCCTTCATGATTCTATTTTCTATATCTGTATACTCACTCTAGGTCCATACTTTACCGTCTTTTGTTTTGTTTTGTTTTAGGGATAAAAACCAGTGACCATGTGTGTGTGTATGTGTGTGCGTGTGTGTGTGTGAATGAATGCGTATGAGTGATGATAGTGGGAGACAGCTCACATATTCAAGAAATTGTATAAAATCTCTGCACAATTGTTTAAAAATAAAATGAGTATTATACACCTATCACCAAGACAAACAACATTAACAGTGACTTAGATTCCCTCAGGATGCCATTTTTGGTACAGTTTTCTTCCTAAGTACTCTTCTTCCATAGGTAACTCTCCTGAAATTACGGTACATCATCCTCTAACTATCTTTTTTTTGGCCCATCCATGTTGATATATGTAACAGTTCTTCATTCATTCTCACTGTTATATTCATTGTATAAATATAACTCATACATCCAGCTTACATTAAGTTACCTTTAGATTTTACTAACAGTATTAGTATACATATTGTTAGACATGTCTCCTATCCCTGTATATAAATTTTCCTTAAGGTACATGCTTAAATAAATGAGTTGCTGGGTAACATTTTTAATTGCATTAAATAATGTTAAACTGTTTTCCAAAGTAATTCTTCCAGTTCACACAGTGGATGAGAATTCTGGCAGTTTCATATCCTCTCTACCACTTGGAATCAACTGGACTTCATAATTTTTATCAGTTTAGTAAATGTGAATGGTGCGTTATTGCAGTTTAATTTGCAATTCCTTGATTATCAATGATTTTAAGCATGTTTTCATATGTTAATAAGTAATTTGTGTTTTTTTCCTCTTTGTTTTAAAAGTACTTACCCATTTTCTATAGGGCTGTTTGAGTCTTTCTGATTGCTTTATAGTTCTCCGTGTGTGTTCTAGAAGTGATCTTTCACCAGCTATATATGTTGCAAAGATCTGTTCTCTTTTATTTTCAATTCATGTCACATTTCACCTCAGAAAAGTCAGCTATAAGATCCCGAAGTTTTTTATTTCTCTAAACTGCTGGTATGAGTAGCTAAAAATATAGACAGATTTCAAAATAAATAATTCATTACTGTAGTTTAGCAGAAATACATTCATGAATATTCGCTCAAGCTTGCAGAAAGTGCTTGAAAAGCTAATTAAACTAAACTAAACTAAATTAAAAACAAAAAGACAGCGCTGTGATGATGAAGGTTTTCATGCCCAGACTCCAAATATACTAGAAAAATTTATCTTCAGCAGTTTACTATATTCACAATGACAACGCTTCAAACTGCTTCCTTTATTCATAAGAGATTCCACCTATTTCAAGTGTGTTTATCACCCAGCCAGCACAGGCAAATGTTACCAAGTTAAGATTGAATTTCAAGTGTGTTCTTGGAATAAAACTTCTGAGAATATTTTTTTCTTTAATACGATCCTCTTGGAGTCATATTTTTTGGCAACTCATCTTTGGGTTTTTGAGGAACTGAATATCCTCACCTGCTTTTTTTTTCTCTCTCTCTATATATTTTTTATTATTATACTTTAAGTTCTAGGGTACATGTGCACAACGTGCAGGTTTGTTACATATGTATTCATGTGCCATGTTGGTGTGCTGCACCCATTAACTTGTCATTTACATTAGATATATCTCCTAATGCTATCCCTCCCCCCTTCCCCTACCCCGCGACAGGCCCTGGTGTGTGATGTTCCCCTTCCTGTGTCCGAGTGTTCTCATTCTTCAATTCCCACCTATGAGTGAGAACATGCAGTGTTTGGTTTTCTGTTCTTGTGATAGTTTGCTGAGAATGATGGTTTCCAGCTGCATCCATGTCCCTACAAAGGACATGAACTCATCAATTTTTATGGCTGCATAGTATTCCATGGTGTATATGTGCCACATTTTCTTAATCCAGTCTGTCATTGATGGGCATTTGGGTTGGTTCCAAGTCTTTGCTATTGTGAATAGTGCTGCAATAAACATACCTGTGCATGTGTCTTTATAGCCGCATGATTTATAATCCTTTGGGTATATACCCAGTAATGGGATGGCTGGGTCAAATGGTATTTCTAGTTCTAGATCCTTGAGGAATCGCCACACTGTCTTCCACAATGGCTGAACTAGTTTACAGTCCCACCAACAGTGTTCCTATTTTTCCACATCCTCTCCAGCACCTGTTGTTTCCTGACTTTTGAATGATTGCCATTCTAACTGGTGTGAGATGGTATCTCATTGTCGTTTTGATTTGCATTTCTCTGATGGTCAGTGATGATGAGCATTTTTTCATGTGTCTGTTGGCTGCATAAATGTCTTCTTTTGAGCAGTGTCTGTTCATATCCTCTGCCCACTTTTTGATGGGGTTGTTTGTTTTTTTCTTATAAATTTGTTTAAGTTCTTTGTAGGTTCTGGATATTATCCCTTTGTCAGACGGGTAGATTGTAAAAATTTTCTCTCATTCTGTAGGTTGCCTATTCACTCTGATGGTAGTTTCTTCTGCTGTGCAGAAGCTCTTCAGTTTAATTAGATCCCATTTGCCAATTTTGGCTTTTGTTGCCATTGCTTTTTCACCTGCTTTTTTCTGAAGCAAGTGTTTCTGGGAACTGAAAAATACACTTTGTCAAATTTCAGGGTTTTTTAGGGTAGTGAAAGTACTCCATATGATACTATAATAATGGATACATGTCATTATACATTTGTCTAAAGCCATGTATTGTTCAACACCAAGAGAAAAAGGTAATGTAAAACTGTAGACTTTGGGTGATAATGATGTGTCAATGCAGGTTGATCAACTGTAACACATGTGCCACTGGTGTGGGTGGCTACACATGGGTCGGGGCAGGGTATATGGAAATCTCTGTACCTTCCTCTCAATTTTGCTGTGAACCTAAAACTGCTTTAAAAATAGAAAATCTATAAGACAAAAACTAATTTAAAATTTTGTTTTAAATTCAAAGGGTGTTAAATGAAATTTATGGGAAGCTATTGTTTGGACTAAGCTCTTGCACTAGGCCCAAGAGGCCAGAACAAATCAGAATAGAGTCATTAATGTTAGGTGCCATATAATCAAACTTTGAAATGGACTAGTTTTCAAAAAGATAGATAGATAGAGAGAGAGAGAGAGAGAGAGAGAGAGATTGATTGATTGATTCACAGCAACCAATCAGAAGGGGCCCAGTTTAACTGAGCCAGCAGGATAAGGAAGTTTCCTCTGATTTAACCCTATGAGGAAGACAGCTTTAAAATGCCCAATTCAATTTTTGTTTCCCGTTTCTGCTTTCTTGAGCCATTTTCCACCTATAAAGCCTATCTCCTTCCCTCAGCTTATTAGAGTGCCTTATGTAAGTCTTTGGATGAGATGATGCCCGATTCATGAATAAAAGCCAATTCAGTCTTTAAACTGAATTTGTTAAAATTTTGTGTTTTCTAACAGGGGAAACGAGCTTTTTAAGACCCACTCAGCACTGGTATTTAATAATGTGGAGAAAAAAACAAAACACGTAAGCAAGCAAGCAAAGAAATAAACATAAATGTCGGCAACTAATTTCTAAAGCAGTGGGACCAGGGAAATAACTCCAGAAGAGACAACAATGGTAACAGCAACAACGTGTGCTTACTAAGTGCCACATATTATTCTGAAGAGCTTTACCAGAATAAGCTTAGTTAATCCTCATAAGAATCCTATGGGATAAGAACTGTTTTTATACTCACTTTAAATATGAGGTAACTGAGACTCAAAGAGTTTAAAAATTTATTCAAGGTCATGCAGCCAGTTAAAGGTGGAGCTGCTGTAGGTGTTGGGTGATTTCACTTGACTGTTTCCTGCAGTTCTTACCTTCTATATTACCAGCTATGTTCTAAAGGACTGCAAAAGTCAGGCTTGTGACTGGAACACAGAACAATACACCCAAGGGTACTGGCAGTGTTCCAATATTGTCCATAAATGTGAGAACTTCATACTTCTTCCATTTCATGGCAGTCAGCATTTTTTCTGCTATTAAGCCATGAAAGGTAGCAATAGAAACATTAGCATCTCATAATGCATAGCATTTACCACTCTAAACTGTCACTGTGATTTATCTGTGACTGTGAGATACTAGGAGAAGGGGACACACATTTGTTGAGTGACTTTACCAGTTGCTATGCTACTTTTCAGACTCATTCCACAGAGTCATTGGTGATTCTTTGGTGTTTAACTCCTTTTCAAGAAAGAGAAGAGCTGTTACTTAAAAACTTAAATTATCTTTTCATACTTAAAAGATTTATGCAAACTTGAGATCCACAGGGGATTTAAGCTCTTAAGAACCAGAGGTTAAATATTAGTCAGTGTATACTACTATACATACTAGCATATATGCTAGTATATGCTAACATTTATAGAATATATGTATATATACTATAGTTGTAGTCAGTAAAGAAATTTAAAAACACAACATAATGAACAAAAAACAATTAGCTAATCTGCATCTATGTGTCTAAATCTGTAGGCATTTATTGTTTTATTAAGAGTGAAGAAACCTTTGATGGGTGCAACCAGAAGCTAAAAACAATCTTATCAAAGTGAAAGATGCATCAGAGATACTGAAAGACTTTAACATCTCCACTAGCATTTCTCATCATCTTTGAAATCAGAGAAAACAATTTTGCTGCCCTTTAGGAACGTCAGACCATACAGTTGTCAGGGTCTCCACGAAGTTTACCTCTCTTTAAAGGAATAGAGCTACTGCTACTTGAAAGCATAAGTTAGTGTTTGTTAAAAGAAAATAAAAGGCCGGGCGCGGTGGCTCACGCCTGTAATCCCAGCACTTTAGAAGGCCAAGGCGGGAGGATCATGAGGTCAGGAGATCAAGACCATCCTGGCTCACACAGTGAAACCCCATTTCTACTAAAAATACAAGCTGGGCGTGGTAGCGGGCACTTGTGGTCCCAGCTACTCAGCAGGCTGAGGCAGGAGAATGACTTGAGCCCGGGAGGCGGAGCTTGCAGTGAGCCGAGATCCCGCCACTGCACTCCAGCCTGGGCGACAGAGCAAGACTCCATCTCAAAAAAAAAAAAAAAAAATTCATCTGAATTAAATTTAAAGGAGTTTAATTGAGCAATGAACTATTCGCAAATCTGGCAGCCTCCTGAGACACAGCAGGCTCAGAGACTCCAGCGCAGCCACATGGTGGAAGAAAATTTACAGACAGAAAAAGGAAAGTGACATACAGAAAACAAGTGAGGTACAGTAACAACTGGATTGGTTACAGTTGGTGTTTGCCTTATTTGAACATGGTTTGGATAGTTGGCTGCATTTGATTGTCCAAAACTCTGTGATTGGCACAAGTGTAGGCTGAGGTCTGTTTACACCTCCACTTGTTATAGTTCACCATGTGCAGAGAAACCTTTAGGCCAAACTTAAAATATGTAAGAAAGCAGCTGTAAGAAGGCAGCTGTAGGCTAAACTTGATTTAACATGTTTAAATCTCATACTCTCAAAATTCACGAAAAGAATCGTCGCAGTTAATATATTAATGAACTATTGTCCATGGGCACTATGGTGGGGTCTGCTAATTGTCCCCTTGTATCCATTGTCCCCTCTCTTTTAGTAATAGGACTCCTCCCGTCCATCCACCACAGAGTCTTAGCAAGGCACATGGACACTCACTACATTTTCTACAACTACTATTAGCAAATGGTTTAGCAATTTATTTAAAGTATTTGATTATATGATTATAACCCAGCAATTTCACTCTTGGATATAACCAAAACAAATGAATGCATCTTTTAAAAGAAATTTCTTCAAGAATGTTTGTAGCAACTCTATTCATAAGAGCCACAAACTGGAAATAATAGTATCCTTCAACAGAAGAATGGATAAACAAATTGTATTATATTCATGTAATGGAATAATACATAAAGTAATAAAAAGCAACAGACTACTCAAATACAAAACAATATGAATGGCTCTTATAAATATCATGTTGAGCCAAGGAAACCAGATATGAAAGAAAAAAGACTGCAAGGCTTAATTTATATGGAGTTGAAGAATAGACCAAGCTAATCTATGGTATAAAATTCAGAATAGTAGCTATTTCTCAGGGTAGGGGACAAGGTCTAGGATTGACTAAAATAGGGCATGAGCATGTCTTACGGGGTGTTAGAAAGTTCTGTATCTTGACCTGGGTGGTGATCCATGCATTTCACTGTATATACAGACCCTCCTCGATTTTTGATGGGTTATGTCCAAATAAACCCAATGTAAGTTGAAAATATCATTAAGTCAAAAATGCATTCAATACACCTAACCTATCAAACATCATAGCTTAGCCTAGCCTACCTTAAATGTGCTTAAATTAGACTGCAATGGGCAAAATCATCTAACATAAAGCTTGATTTATAGTATAGGTTGAGTATTCCTCATCTGAAATGCTTGGGGCCAGAAATGTTTTGGATTTCAATTTTTTTTTCAGATTTTGAAATATACTTACTAATGGAACACCTCAAATAAAAAAAAACCGAAATTCAAATTACTCCACAATGAGCATTTCCCTTGTCATGTCAACACCCAAAAAGTTTAGGATTTTGGAGCATTTCAGGTTTTGGATTTTCAAATTTGGGATGCTCAACCTGTAAAGTGTTCATTATCTCATGTAATTTGTAGAATACTGTATTGAAAGTAAAAAGCAGAGTGGTTTTATGAGTACTTAAAGTACATTTTCTGGTAAATGTGTATCATTTTTGCACCATTGAAAAGTTGAAAAATCCTATGTTAAGCCATCATAAATCAGGAGCAATCCATAATTATACTTCAGATAAATAAATCAGGACACATACACATACACACATACACACACACACACACACACACACACAGAGAGAGAGAGAGAGAGAGAGAGAGAGAGAGAGAGATCTTTCAGATACTACAGCTGGTTCTAATATAAAAGCTAAAAGCACAGTTGATTATGCTATTTGTTGGGGCAGCAGGCTAATGAATGAATTGTTTTATTTTATTTTTAGCTCTATTGTTATAATTTAAAATCCAAGAAACTATGGTGGAGTTCTATTACACAACAACCATTTTCAACCCTCTGCTGTCTAAGAACCTTTCTAGCCAAGGAAGGGATAGCAAGCAGTCAGTACATTCAAACAGAAGCCCCCTTTTAAAGTAAAATACTAGGTTGAACCATATGAAACCTTGACAATTTCATATGACTCAACCTACTATTTACATCAAATCATAGGATGAATTAAATCAGAGATGAAAGCAAAAAGGAGATGGCAAAAAGAAGAATGCTTCCCTTGGTTCAACTTATTTCATCATGGGCACAAATGGCCTACAAATTGTAATAAACTTAGAAAATTTCCTAAGCCTGTCAATCTTTTAACCCCAGACATGCCCTTCTACATCAACATACAGGCTTCAGAGCTCTGAGATAACCATTTCCAGCCTTGTAGCCAACCTGCCCCAGCAGGGCTTCATACGCTATCATCTTCTTGGTCCAACAGGTTTAGCGCTAATGAGAAATCTGGCTCTGTGCTCCTTTCTGGCTCCAAGCACAACTAGGACAGATGGAGGAGCCCCGAGAGCTGGAAATGACAGAATTTTGAAATTTCCCATTAAGTTGGCTTGAGTTTTAGTCACAATGTACACAAAGTAGGAGAATCTGATTTTAGGAAATTATCTAACAATTGATTTTAAACCCAAAAATGGAAATGTATTTCCCATTATTGACAACAACCTAGGAGTTACAGGGCATGTGTGGGATCTTTGCATGCATGCTCCCTTCTCCCCACTCCCATCCTTACTCTCTCTGCCAAACTTGGAGATGAAATAACCTGAAATTTGAAATTTGTGTTGTATAATCCCTTTCTATTCCCAAGCAAAAAAAAAAAAAAAAAAATCCTGCTGGAAAAGTTTGCTTCTAAACTAGCCATGTTGGAGCCCTATCGTTTTCTACTGAATTTTACTTATTAATTCAGAATTATGTCCTCATGTAAAATAGATTTTGCCTTTCTGGGGCAAAGGCAGTCACAGAGATACAGGTTGGATATCACTCTCTTTGTAGGACATGTGGTCATGTTTTAAATACTTGGTACTTAGATCTACATGCTTGTCCTTTTGGCAAAGCTGAGAATTATTTTCATACTACAAAATTTTGACAGTGTAACCCCACGGTCTCAACACTCCTCAAATATCACACTAGGGAAAAATATTGAAATGCTACTGGTAAGAATGTGCCCTTTTCATGTCCAGTGTTTATATTTACTACAAATACTAGGTCTCTAAGACCTGGGTTCCTGTACTATGTATCGTCCCCAAGACCATGACTAAAACCAAGTGTGAGAGTCAGTGCATGTTGGACAGGAAGGGATCCCAGAGTTTACCTTTTCCTATCTATGTGGTTTACATGAAAAACATCTAAAAGCCAGAAATGGAAGTAATTTGTGCAAGGTTGCCCAGCTAACAAGAGGGGCACCACAACTCACAGCTAGGTCCATGGTGCCGCATGAATCTGAATCAATGTGGGAAAAAGGAATGTTTTGACTTGTGAGACATGATTGAAAACAGAGCAAAAGGGAAACAGGAAGCTAATTAAACATCTGTGGAACCCTGTTATTTCATGGGCACTGAAGTAAACAAAGCAAAGAGGGAAAAGAAGGGAACGTTAGGGACTGGCAGTGTAGCAACCAACTACGGAACAGTTATAGGGCAACAGATCTGTGGTAACCATAAGGGAGGTAATGTTTGTTAAGCATATTCCATCTGCCTAGAAGTGTGTCAAGCAATTTAATGCATCATCTCATTTAATCCTTACAACTATGCAATGAGGTAATAATAATAATAAATAATGACTACCATTTATTGAGCATCTTTTACATATAGGCTGAACGCTACATTAAGCATATTATAAACAGTGTCTGATTTTATTTATACAACATGATTATGAGGTTGGTACTGTTGTTATCCACAATAGAAAGAGGAGAAAATTGAGACTTAGAGAAAACAGCATTTTCCAGATCACACAACTGGTAAATCGACGAAACAAATTAAAACCCACATCATTTTATCAAAGAACCTAGCCTTTAAATGCATCATTTTATCAAAGAACCTAATCTTTTAAATGGATCACTATTCTGGCTGTCAAGTACAGGTTGCTTAAAAATTAACACAAAACCATTATTTATCAATACTCATGGTCTTTTATTTTCCTCAAAAATAACCAGATCCAAAATAAAGTCAGTATTTTACAAAGAATAGTCTAATTGTCTAATCTATGTTGCAAGCTGGAGTGAATCACAGTTTTGGCATTGGATCTAGAACTGTTATTGTCTGTGGTGTTAAAAAAAATTATGTGTATTAGCATGGGAAAACAATTGCATAGCCCTTTTGAATGTAAAAGGAAATGTGTTTAATGCATGTATATTGAGAAGGACGGAAGGGGGAAGAGAGAGAGAGACAGAGAGAGGCAATGTGATACAAAGAAGGAGATACTATGAATTCACTGCCTCTATGATTCTGTAGGAGGCCATGCTGTTTGTTAATTTCAGAACTGTAATTTTAAAAATTAGTAACCTTGGTAACCAAATTTATTAGTGAAGCATGCTATAGAAAACAAACATCGTGTGATGACTGGTCCTAGACAAACTGACAAGATTTGTTTTTTGCTTTTGAAACTCCAGGCATTATTTACATACACTCAGCTCTAACACAGGATCCTTTAATTAAGACTTTTACACTTATCTGTACATAAAAATGGAAATATTTCAATAACAGCACATCTTTTTCTTTTGCTAAATTACCGGTTAGAAAGGAAAATTAAAGAAATTCACTGAATGGTGCTGAATGATTAACTCTAAAGGTTAATTATGTCTACTTAAGTGGGACTCACTTAACTATTCTCTTCTTTGTCCACTGAAGCAGTAAGGGACTGTGACACTGCACTGAAGGACGGGAACAGGGGACACTGAGGGCTTGTTGCCAGGTGGCAGCTGTCAAGGTGATTTAATAGCTATTCAAAGACCATTTTTTCTGCTTTTCAGTTCTCCAGGAGCCAGGAGCCAGTCTACCTTAAGCTTCTTTTGACGGGGGCCAACTGTTTAGAGTGGGAGGGAAGCATGTATTTGAAATAGCACACAGGTATAAACATGGGTGATAGAAGTCTTATATTCTTGACCTTTACCACACACTTGGAGAAACGGTGCACATTAGGCTTAGACCAGAGGAAGGAGTTTAATTTTCCATTTGGATCCCCATGGAGTGCTTAGGATCATACTTTTTCCAAGGCAATTTATCACTAATTCTTCCATTCGTCCATTTGTTTATCTGTCCCTTCCTTCTCCCCAAGGGTAGGCACAGGGCTAGGTGCTTTACTTGCATATACAGGCACTAGAGCACAGTAACAGAATTAGATCTTGACTTGACTATTGGCTTTGCCACCTAAGAGCTATGTGATTTAGGACAGGCTTCTCAACTCTGAGTCATATTTTCCTAATTGTAAAAATAGGTCAATAATGTTTTATCTCTCACCAAATTGGCAGAGGGATTAAATAAGATTAAATGAGAAAATGCATAAAACATAGTCAGCATCTGATAAATAGTAGCTATATTATGTACCATCATTTCCATTTCAGGTATGAGAAAACTGAGGCTCAAAAAGCTAAGTGACTTGTTCAAGATCTTAATTCTAGTCATGAATAGAGATAAGACCTCACCCCAGGAGTATGAGAAACATACTCCTTGCAGTAGCATGCCTTTCCTTTAATAAACTCACCACCTAGGGAGGAAAATAGTCCCTTAATCTTGGAGTTTTCTACAACCATTATAACGGAAGTGCTTATGAGAGTAGGTGCAGAGGTGAAAGCCTCTAGGGAGGCATGGTGCCTGACTGGAGTCTTGAAAAACCATTAAGAATCCCGTAAACAGAATGGGAAGGAGGAAGAGACAGTATGCAGACTGAAGAAAGGGCCTGTGCAAAGGAAAGGCGAAATGAAGGAACAAAGTGCTTCCTGAGGCTCCGTTCCAGGGCTTTTAGGGGAAGCAGCAGAGGAGGGTGCAGAGGTAGGCAGAGTCCAAGTTAAAATAGTCTTCTTTACCTATTTGGTGATCAGGAGCCATGGGTGTGTTTTAAACAGATGGAGAAACTCAAGGGTTAAAATGGCTAGAAGCGAATCACACTTGAATCTTTTCCATTTTCACTTGGAAACAGAACATCCCTCCCACCAGGCAGGCTCCTCTAATGTTTCCATGACAACCTATTGCGAAGGCCTGGGATAGGCTAAGCCTAAGTCAGGGGAGTGGCATGGGTAAACAAGAGCACAGAGGGGAAAAGCTACGGTTAGGGTCAAACTATGGAGGCAGGCAGCAAGGGGAGTGAGGAGTTGTGTACTATGGAGTCAGGAAGAGGAGAGCAGTAAGAACCAGAAATAAGGATTGGGTAAACCTAGATGTACCTGAATTTACTGCAAGCCCAGTCATTTTGCTAGATACACATGTACACATACACATACACGCACATTCAAACTATTAATATGTTCTTTGGCGCTCGCCTGCACTCTGAACATTTTCAAAGGGACCTCATGAAAATTAAGAATTTCTAATCAGTTCATTTCATCACTGGAAATCAAAATGTAAATGTGAGAACTCTGATTTTCAAGAAATCTTACCAACCTTTTCAATCTATTTTGCAAATTTATTTATTTTTGAACCAGGGGGTTCTATTTTTGCGAAGTGTTAGCAAATTGTAGCATCAGGTTCAAGGTTGGTTTCCAAATTCTGAGTCACCTAATGTTAAATGTGATTAAAATTGAAAGTCATTTTAGGAACTGGCCTTCCCATTAGCTAGCTGCAGCTTTGCATTAGACTTCCATGCAAGAAATATGAGACTTTAAAGAAATGATTGTTTTCAGCTTAAACATGAGCTGAGGAAGTAAAGAAAATGTTTTTAAAAGAAAAGAAACCAAAAAAAAAAAGAAAGAAAAGATAAAATAGTCGTTCTGAACTTTGCTGCATACTGGGATGCTAGCAAAGCTTTAAAAACACTAATGCCTGGGGACCCGTTCCCAGAGACTGATTTAGAGTAGGTCTGGGCTGGGGTGAGATATCAGGGTTTTTAAGGGCTCTACAGGTGTTTCTTACCTGGAGCTAAGATTGAGACACAATGAGATAAAGCAGAGAGGCAGCTAGTAAACAAGTTGATTTTTGGCCCCTTTCTAGAAAGAAAGCCAGTGTGAACTGGATAAAGCAGGAAAGAGGCTGAGACCTGATTTACAATGGCAGTGGCTCCCCGCTTCTGATCAACGTAAATTCTAAATTCAGTTTAGGGTGGGAAGGTGGAGTTGGAGGTTCCTTTATTATTGGTCCCTCCACTACACTGGGAGTACCCTAAAGCAAGGATTGAGTACTTTTATCCTTGTATTCCTTGGACATGTCTAACTGTCTGCAATATGGGATATCAATAGTTGTTTGTAAAACAAATGAATGAAAAAGTTAGAGGTAGAGTATGTGAAATGAATGTTGCAGAGACTCAATTTTTACCAGACTTCTCTCTTAGCACATTCAAGAAGTCATGCTCATGGGCAACTGCAGCGTGCTTTGACAGAAAAAAAAAATAAAACAAGCTGAGCATGGTAGATCATGCCTAAAATCTCAGCACTTTGGGAGGTGGAGGTGGGTGGTATGCTTGCACCCAGGAATTTGAAACCAGCCTGGGCAACATGGCCAAACTCCATCTCTACAAAAAATACAAAAATTAGCCAAGCCTGGTGGTACGTACCTGTAGTTTCAGCTAGTAGGGAGGCTGAGGTGGGAAGATCACCTGAGCCTGGGGAGGTCGAGGCTGCAGTGAGCCATGATCACACCACTGTACTCCAGCCTGGGCAACAGAGCAAGACCCTGTCTCAACAACAACAACAACAACAACAACAGCAAACCAACCAGATGCTATCTTTAATTTCAGTGAACTTAACAAATATTTATGCAACTTTCTGTCTAGGTTCTGTGCTAGATCCTCAGAACCACAGACCGAGACTTCCAACAAAAGATTAAGTTCTAAAAACCTATCTGATTAGTCCAATATTTTAAGAAGTACTTGTTTTTCAATGGCATAGCACAACTGATTTGCTTTGGGTGGCTTAAAAAGGGTAGCAAGTAGTATTTTGGATGGAGCTAGGGCAGATCATTCAGCATTTCTTTGTGTTTGCAACAGTGTTTCATATAAGCAAATTTCTAAAAGCAGTGTTTCCCAAACTTGCTTTTACCTAAGTAGCACCTGGGGTTCTTGCTACATTTCTGAGGAATACATTACCAGGCAAGTTTAGAAAGCACCATTACAGAGAGTCTGCAAGTCTTCAGAATATCTTATTCTGCATCAAAGTCCTGACTGCAGCATTATTACAAGTGAAATGATGACGGTGGAGTTGGGAGAAGGAAAGGAAACAGGAAATGACAAATAACAGGGTTATGTTGTGACAGGCACTTTACAAGGGAATTGACGTTACTGTTGGCTATAATACTTGCAACAACACTTTATTAAAATGAATACTATTATTCCTATTCTAGCAACACGACCCAAAGGTCATAATCGCTCTCAGCTTCTATCATCATGGGTTCATTTTGCCTGTTCTTGAATGTTATATAAATCATATTGTGGTGGGCAGAATAACACCCCCCCATCCCTAATCCCTGGAATCTGTAATATGTTCCCTTATATAACAAAAGAGACTTTGCAGATATGATTAAGGTTAAGAAACTTGAAATGTGGAGATTATCCTGGATTATCCTTCGTGGATTCAATCTAATCACATCAATCCTTAAAAGCAGACTATCTTTTGCAGGTGGGTCAGAGAGATACAACATGAAAAACACTCAACTTGCAATTGCTGATTGTGAAGATGGAAGAAGGGGGCCACGAGCCACGGAATGCAGCAGCCTCTAGATGGGGATGGTCCTAGGCTGACAGGAACAAGATAACAGGGACTTTGGTTTGCATAGAATTGAATTCAGCCATCAATTCAAATAAACTGGAACTGGATTCTACCCTAGAACTTCCAGAAAGAAACACAGCCTGCTGATACCTTGATTTTAATCTGGTGAGATGCATAGTGGACTTCTGATCTACAAAACTGTAAGATGATGTGTTTTTTTAAGCCATTAAGTTTGTAGTGATTTGTTTCTAGAGCAATCTAGAAAACTAATATGCATATAGTTGTGTGTGTGTGTGTGTGTGAGTCTGGCTTCTTGCACTCAATATTATATTTGCAAGATTCCTATCTGCTGTTGTATGTAGCAGTTATTGATTTTCATTGTTGCATAGTATTCTTTTGTTCAAATATACCACAATTTATTTACCTATTGTATTGTTGATGGACATTTGGATATTCCCAGGTTTAGGCTATTACAAACAATGCTGCCATGCACATTCTTGTATATATTTTTGTTGAACACATGTACTCATTACCATTGGATATATACCTAAGGAGAGATCATAGGGTATATGTTCGGCTCTGATAGATACTTCCAATGTGCTGGTTTACTTCCCATGAGCAATGTTTGAGACTCTCTACATGTTCACAAATACTTGGTATGAACAGTCTTTAATTTTAGCTATTCTGGGAGTACCACCATTTCCTGTGAATTGACCATTTTACATATCCTCTTTTAAGAAATGCCTGTTCTTTCATCCATTAAAAAAATTATTTTTTTTTCCTCAATGACTTGTAGCTGCTCTTTACATATTCTGAAGATAAATTTCTTTTCTAGACGTCTGGATTACAAATATCATTTGCTGTGCTCTGTCTTGACCCATTCTCTTCATGGTGTCTTTAGATGAACAGAGGTTTGCATTTTAATGTAGTTTATCGATATTTTCCTTTATGATTAGTATGTTTTGTGCCTGTTTAAGACTTAATCTTTGCCTATCACACACATATGAAGCTACTTTGCAATATTATCTTCTAGACTTTTATTGTTTTACTTTTTATATTTTTATCTATAATCCAGGTAGAAAGATTTTTGTGTGTAGTGTGAGGTTGGGTCAAGAGCCATTTTTTTTAAAAAAAGGATATCCAATTGATGCAGTATCATTTACTAAAGAGATCATTCTTTTCCACTTCAAAGTAATTTTGCTTTTGTCATAAAATCAAGAGGTTGTATGTGTGTGTTATTGTTTCTGCACTCTATTTTATTCCATTGGTCTACTTGTCTATACTTGCACCAATTTCATACTGCCTGTAATTGTGTAACCTCATAATAAATCCTAACATCATATAATGTAAATTCTCTGACTTCATTTTTCTGTGTTTTGCCTATTGTTGGTCTTTTACATTTCCATATTAATATTAGAATCACTTTGTGAAATCTACCACCATCACCAACAAACAAATAAAAAATATCTTTTGAGGTGTTGATAGGAATTGCAGTGAATCAATATATCAGTTTGGGAGAACTGAAATCTTTGCCACATTGCATCTTCCTATTCATGAATAAGGTATACCCCACATTTATGCAACTTCTTTTAATGACATTTGTGGATTTTTTGTATAGCAGTGCTCTTTTGTTAGTTCTATTCCTATAACTTTAATGTTTTTCACTCCTACTGTAAATGATATGTTAAGTTTAGTTTTCTTATTGTTTAGTATCATTATATGGAAATACAACTGATTGATATTAACCTTGTTATTTAGTAAAATTGCTAAAGTTACTTTTTAATTATAGCAGTCTATCTAGTTATTTTGAATTTTAAACATACACAATTATGTTACCAGAAAATAAGGATCATTCAATTGTTTTCCTTCCAATCATCTTACTTTTTCTTGCACCTCCATTTAATAGCAGTGGTGATAGAAGGGTAGAGTAGTGATAGAAGGTGCCTCATACCTGCTTCCAGGGAAAAAGCTTCCAAAATTTCATTATTAAGTATGGTGTTTAGGCTGGCTCCCTGGTTCATGCCTGTAATCCCAGCACTTTGGGAGGATCACTTGTGGCCAGGAGTTAGAGACCAGCCTGACCAACATGGTGAAACTCCGTCTCTACTAAAATACAAAAATTAGCCAAGCATGGTGGTGCATGCCTATAGTCCCAGATACTCAGCAGGATGAGGCATGAGAATCACTTGAATAGGGGAGGCAGAGGTTGCAGTGAGCCAAGATCTCGGCACTGCATTCCAGACTATGTGGTGGAGTGAGACTGTGTCTCAAAAAAAAGTATGATGTTTTCCTTTTATTAGATTTAGGAAGCCCATTATTTTTCAAGTTTTCTAAGAACTTTTGTTCACAGATGAGTTTTGAATTTTATTGAATGGTTTTCCTATAATATTTAGATGATCATCTGAATCTTATCTTTTATTCTGTTAATGTTGTGATTTTCTAATGTTAAAGTGGTCTTTCATTTCTGTAATAAATTCCAGCAGGTCATGATATATTATTCTTTCTATATATCACTAGATTTATTTTGCTAATATTTTATTTTATATTTTTAATTTGATGTTTATGAGAGAGATTGGAGTATAAATTTCCTTTCTTACAATGACCTTGTTATGTTTTGGTATCACAGTGATGTTAACATTGTAAAAAGCTAGGAAGTACCCTATCTTTTCTAATTTCTCCAAGAGTTTGTATAAGATGCTAGGTGATTTATAAACATTATTCCTCATAAACTTTAAATGAGTATTTCTATTATACTCATTTTATGGAAAAAGTGGAGGCCTAGAGGGAGAAGTAGTAATAAGTTACTAAGGTCACAAGAAAGGTGGTAAGTGATCAAGCCAGAATTTAAGTCCAGGTATTTCTGATTCCAGAACCCAAGCTTTTGGCCTACCCCACTCTGCTATGAACTCATAAATGCATGGCTGACTGAATTAGAATTCTAGAGGACTTAACATGTCATTCTATGGTAGCGTATACTTCTTTTTTTTTTTTTTGAGACGGAGTCTCGCTTTGCTGCCCAGGCTGGAGAGCAGTGGCTGGATCTCGGCTCACTGAAAGCTCCGCCTCCCGGGTTCACGCCATTCTCCTGCCTCAGCCTCCCGAGTAGCTGGGACTACAGGCACCCGCCACCTCGCCCAGCTAATTTTTTGTATATTTAGTAGAGACGGGGTTTCACCATGTTAGCCAGAATGGTCTTGATCTCCCGACCTCGTGATCCACCCGCCTCGGCCTCCCAAAGTGCTGGGATTACAGGCGTGAGCCACCGTGCCCGGCCGGTAGTGTATACTTCTTACGGAGGGGAAATATACTGCTAAAGATAACAACAACAACAAAAATACAGTTTTACTTTTGGAACCTACTACAAAAGACTCCATCATAGTTAGCTTCTCAAATCTCCCCTATTTCCTACCCTCTGCATATGCGCCTGATCCTGGAGCAGAATTTGTGTTCACAATAATAGCTTATTATTTTCTTCTGTTTTTTTTTTTTGTTTTTTTTGTTTTTTGTTTTTTTTGCAACTAACTTTAGCTGGATGCTGGAAGACATGTCTGATTCATCTTTTTACCTCTGACAGCATCCTATGTAGTATTTTATAATTAATAGTCACTGAAGAAAAACTTAAACCCGTATCCATTCCATCATACTTGCTCTAAGGCAGTTAGAAGATTCTGCAATCCTCTTATCCTCTGTGTAGCATCCCGTAGCAGGAAACCTCATGCCTCTTTGCTAAGGATGCATCGTCAACGAATGCATCCCATGGTTTGCATCCCAACTAGTATAACTTCATGTCAAAGATCTACTCATTGATCATCTTTAAGGTCCTCATTTATTACTGAGGGAGTTGCACTATACATTAGATGACTGTATTTCCTAAAACTTATAGAACTTGCTTCAATAATTTTAAGTACCTATAGGAATGAGAGAGCATATATGAAATCAAGTGCATCTAAGAAAATGAGGTATTTCTGGAAGCCATGGAAATTAAGGTTAAGAGCAGGTATTTGGCATAGGATAGAACTGAGTTTTTATCATGTTGTCCTTCTTCGCTGTGTAAATTTAGGTGATAACGTAAGCTCTCTAACCTTGGTTTCATTAACTGTAAAGTGGGATAGTAATGATACTCTCTCACAGATACTATGAGAATTGAATGTTCACTGCCAGCTCCTCATCCTCAGGATACCTGAATCTGTGATGTAATGGAGGGCTCGTAAGAGGATTTGAGCGCGTTGTGGAGGTGGAAGTATCATAGGGGCCCCTATTTATGAGGAAAGGGGCAGGAACACAGAATTTTAGGAAAAGAGAAAAGTTATCTTATGAAAAGCCAGCAGGGGTGTTCATTCAGCATAGGTCTTTTAGGTGAGAAACTCCCCACTCATCTGGATTTACTGCAACCAGAAACACAAGCAGAGACCCCTTCCTGATGATTGGCTAGGAACCCTCATTAACAGGAAAAAGAAAGATGAAACTGGCTCCAAGAAAGCCACTGGAACTGGTAAAGAGGTTTGTCTAGAGTAAGAGCTACAAAGTTAATTTAAATGAGAATTAGATTTTCATGTTAGAGGGCATTAGAAGCTATTAAATACACCGTTTGTTGCAAACTTCTACTCAGTTCACACCACATTTTCTCATTATTTTACCGGTGGAATCAGATAATTGTATGACTTCTTAATATATAAAAGTATGGAATCCTGAGTTTTAAAGGAACATGTCTGCATTTTAAGACAATTAAGGGGAAAAAGTACATGAGGTAAGCAATCTGGTTTGAAACAATGTAGAATATACCATGTTATAAAATACAATGAAAGATTCTATAATGTAATGATACCTTTAAAAAATCTGTTTTTTAAACACATAAAATTGTATATACAAAACGTGTAACTTTTTGCATATCAATTATATCTCAATAAAGCTGTCAAAAAGTGGGTCTATTTTTAAAATGTAGAAAAAATGACAACTTTAAAAATGAAAAATAATTTTGATGATGAAAGATTCCTTTTTATCTTTTAATAAGTATCACTGAAAAGCATCAGCTTATCACAGAAGATGGATCTCGGCTTCTTATTTATTGAGAAAATGGCATAAAAGATGAAGAAAGCATAGGTACACAAAGAAAAATAAAATCTGAAAGATGTCTTTCTTTGTTAAGAAAAGGACAAAGTTAAAAAATGCATTCCTGGGGGAGAGGAGCAAGATGGCCGAATAGGAACAGCTCCAGTCTCCAACTCC